ACGAAATATATTCAATTGTTGCTTTGAATTTGCTATACATAGCAACAAAATCCGAAAGGGTGTTTTATCCAATTTAAAGAGGCTTATTATAGTTGTGAAGAACAGCAAACTTTGGACCAATATTTCTGGATCAATGTTGCATAGTTTGTACCGCTACAGTTTTCTAATGATGGTAGACATAGTAAGTTATGAGCATGATAAAAACAAATTTTAAATATATATTTTGTTTTGAAAATAATATTTTATTTGAACTCTGTTTTGGAAAAACAATAAAAGAGTTCTTTTAAACATCTTAGCTTTTGCTCAATTTGCTTACCTTTTCTCTCCGTTCGTTTCCTATTCTTTTTCACAACTTAAATTGTACCTAAAAATCTTAATAATTTATATAGAGACTTTTCACACAAAAATGGTGGAATTCACCCAGAACACAACATTAGTGTTTTAAGCTTCTTTTTCACAACTCGCAGATATCGAAGACTTGCTTGATGTAGAAGCGACACACTAGAGCAGGGACTCGGGCCAATTCGAACGATTCTAAGGTGTCGAAGATATTTTCTTTGTCACTAAACAGATATACTCACCTCGAAATAGCCTTGTCTATAATGTACAGACGGGCCTACCAGTAGCGTCACATAGACGAGTCCAGTGCTGGTTCATCTGTCGTTTTGTTCTAAGACGTTTTAAAAGGTCGTTAATTTTTTTATTCAGATGTTGTTGTTACATTGTCAATTAGACTCATGTTCAGTTTTCAAGTTTTTAATTACGATAGTAAATTAGGTTTGAGTAAAATATATGGTTGTGATCGAATCTTCCAGAGCTACAGTACTTGATATATTGCCACTTTTGATGTAAACTATTTACATGGCAGTAAATATATATATTAAAGACTGTTCAAAGTCTGTCGGTTTCGCATGGTCAAACCGGTCATCAGACGTTATAAGCTTAAATAAACAGAGAATTGTTAGGAGACGTGTTTTAAAATATCCGTGTACTGACGCCAACACGTATAACACGATAATCAAGAAGTTATGGGTTAATAGTGATGCTATAAAGAAAGATAACGATGAAGACGTAGAAACGAATTTCAGATTATAACCTTAAAGTTATACCTGATTTAAACTAAATATTCAAAATCGTTATGGAGCTTTCAGGTGTTTCTTAGCACAAATTACTTAAACTCCATCGCCTTTGATTGAAAGAACTAAATCAATCTGGAATCCTGACTACGGAACCTGCGTTACTCGCGAGCTCAGGGGGAAAATTAATTCTCTTTCGACTAAATTGGGAATTTTAAACCATATTGATATAACTTGATGTAATATTGATAAAAACTATCTACTTACATGTAAGAGGCAGGTCTTTTTAGGTCTTTAAGGTTTATAAAGTGTAACATGATACATTATGTATTTAGGTATTATTTTTGGTAACGATTGCATACATTACACTCCATAGATTCTTGACCATAGAGTAAGCCCAAAACAACTCCACTCTTCACATTTCGCACTGTTAAGTCTGAGTACAAGATATAGACGATACAGAGCGCCAGTGTGTGGTAGCCAAGCACCACCAGCTGTTTACATTATGTGAGAAGTACAATAAGCAGACACGGGATATTGTAGCAACAGAGTGTGACACTGTCGCAAGCAGCGACTACTGTATAGAGAACAAAAAATACCCAATCAAGTTTAATCTAAGTCGTGTCGTGTGTAAATCTCTTTGAATTTACAGGTAACACAATAAATAGAAACAATGAGGAATTGTTAAGTAATTTAATTTCAATAATCTCATTTTAGATGGAAATTAATTTTCTTAGTTCATCCTGGACCAGATGAAGCATGAACTACAAATCCACTAGATATATGCAAAAATAAAGTAACTAGATTCTTATATTTCGTTCAGCTAAACGTTGTTTTAACATTATTAGAAATGAATGTCACAAATGCTAGTAAGTGATTTTTTGAACCTTGTATCAAGATGCCGAATAAAACATACATTGTATCATATTTGACAAGACAAAGAAAAAAGTTAGTAATTATTTATTCAAAATATTTTATCATATTTTTACCCAGAACCCTTTTACAGATATGTTTGAAACTGATGTTCTGGGATAATCAATCAGTACGTAAACTATAGTTTCGTTCTGCAATCTTTCTTCTCTTCAAACAGCTTTACCAGTTCACTCTATACTGATGACAAATTTACAAAACAAGGAATTCTTTAAAGAAGAATGTCAAAGAAAAATATGAAAACATTCTTACAATCATGCTTGGCCATTCTTTATAACTCATTAGCTGGAAGTAATTGAAAGTAGGGAGTAATTACGAAAAGAACTGGTAGTCAACGAAAAGTGATACTTAATTATTGAATTAAATGTTTTATCTATGATTAAATGTTCCACTGGGGCAGGGACCTCCAGACCAGCAATAGAGGAAAAATTAAAATTCAGACTCACAATGAGTTAATGCTAGGTTAAGAGTAATGGATCGCCATTAACACGTCCATGGCTTGGCTGATAATAATTGGTGGTATATTACCAGAAAATGGGTAACGCGCAACAACTGTACTTATTTTGGAATAACGTTCTGTTTTTCGTGTTCTACCAGCTGAAGGTTAATTACATACTCTAGAGTTATTAAAGTCTATGGTAAAAGTTGTAGGCCTGCATCTTGAAAATTGCGTTAAATGGTTAAAGAGTTCCAAAAAAGGTAGTTTAAACTCATCGTTTTGGCTAACCTGTTGAAATTTAAACTCCTGACCTTAACACTTCTCGACGTAAAATTCTAAACCCCATTTGATGTAATTTGTGCCTCATGAGGATTTAAATATTAAACTTACGATAATGTTTGCTTGGCCAAGTGGTTATAATGCTCACCTTCAAATCTAAAGACTGGGGGTTCAATCCCAACCGGGGTCTATTCTTTGCACAGATGCCATTTGTCTTTGGGTGTCGTTAGATATCATCACGAGTTTAGACCATTCTCTTAAAAACCGTAACAAAATCCAGTAGCATTGAAACACAAAGAAGTTAGGTAAAAACTGTAACGTTAAACGTCCACGTTATTATGATATCAGCTGATTTATCAATCTATAACAAGTTTAAGTACCACACAACATATACAAGGAATGTGCGGCTACATAAGAACACGATGGTAAATGTGTGTACACTTTACAGGGTTAAAGCATAGATACCCTAAAACATAGGTCAATTATCAATTATCAATCATTAAGATGGGGACGCCACTTAGGTGCGTATTTTAACCCAAATATGAGTGAAGGATGAGTGTAGAATGGTGTGAGATGATCTGTGTAGCTTTGTTACTGACTAAGATCAGCTGTTTCATTAGCCAGGATCATTTATTTAAAGCCCAATGATCAGGAACAGCTGGGTCCAGTTTCGAACCATCAAAAAGCTACTGACTTTTCTACTCCCTTAGTAGATTTCCCATCCTTATGGAACAGCTGAAGCCAATTTTATCATTAGTTCTGTCCGGTGCACTGCAGAGACCTTGTTTTGTTTACTATTTGTTTCTTGTTATTTTAATCATTTAAAACCCTGTTTAACCAAATAAAACGAAATAGACCAGTAGTTCTAATTCGACACACTATTTGTACACACTTGTACACACTTGTACATACTTGTACACACTTATACAACATGATGTCTGATTGAACTTCAAACAAACGAACAAACAAGTTTGGTCCACTGAAGTAAGCGTTATTTGTACGTGGGAAAAGTTTACAGAATACTGAGAACTTCAAAAGTTTTGTAGGAAATGATCTAAAAATATGCTACAAAAGGTATAGTAAAGTTTGTGCTGTAGTCCGTGGAACTACCAACGGTATGTGTTAAACAAAAAATCAATGGGTATTTAAATAAACAGGTTTTCCTCCGAAACAGTTTCGGTTCTTTAATAATGGTAAAAGTCCCCAAGGAATCGACGAGTCACCACTACTATGTGTCATCCGATGTGTCACAAGGTTGTGACTGGTTTTGGTTTAAACCCATCTTATTTTATGAAGGAAAATACAATTGGCCCACAATAAGTGATTACAACTTAGATTACGCTTTGAGATTTAATTAAAGAAGTAAATTGGTGGTGATAACAGTTTTTTGTCTACTTAACTCTTTCAATTATTTCACTTTGTAAAGTTTTCGTATATTCAGTTGTACAAACTATGTTTCCTTTTACAATAAAATATATTTTCGAATACACTTTACAAATTGAGACATACAAATTTAATATATGTGAGGCTAAACAAATACGCCCAATCATTTTGTAAAAATATATCCCATCCGTTCATTTACTTTAATAGGATACGTCTTCATTCTTTGAAGCTAAGAAGAACGCTAAGATATGTAAGGGAAATATTGCTCAAACAACTTTGAACTAAAACTGTTCGAATACTTTTCATAATTCTGCAGCGACAACAAATCTAATTTTGCATGTTGACGCTACGTACTATGTTACGTACAACAATATCAATCTGAAACTAGGAGGAAACGGCCTTTTGCACTGCCTTGAAGAAGTTGCTAGAAGACCAGACAGCTATACTACATCCAACAATACTACATTGATCAAAAACTATAATTAGCCTACAAAAAATTCATCCTCCGCTAAAGTACGAAATTGTAAGCTATTTTTTCATCAATGTAAGTTTTTAGTGTTTTAAACTCTTAGTGTAAATTGAAGCAACCCATCCGGCTCTGCTGGTCTTGGTCAGGGAGGAGGTAATTAATTACCAGGTAACTATTAGGTAATTACTTTATGTTCCTATTTCGTTGTATCTATTGAACTTGTGTTATAATGGCATCCACCTACAAAATTCACTTTACGCATCATAAATTTATTGTGTTACAAATTGACCTGATGGAAATCAAATCACCTCATAAACTTCCAAATAAATCCAATCACATCAAACCATTTGTAATGTCCTACATATCAACTAGGCTTGTATATTTGCACTCTTTTGTACCAACACGTATATTATTCCCTAATGTTATGACAGGCTGGTGGTGGGGTGGAGGGGGTAGGTTTGCTGCTAGGAGGGGAGCAGGGCGAGCACGCAGGGCTGCTGTTCTCTCAGTCTGTGATTCCACAGCTTCCCAAGTGTTTCTTCAGACCACGTAAGTCCTTTTTGATTCTACTCGAACTAATCCATTAGGCAACTTTGGCGATATTAAATAGTTTAAATGTTCATGATTATTATATATTCATTTAATTAAGAATGGTTTTTAATATTTTTCTCATCGTAGTATTTAATATTTTATAGAACTTACGTTTTATATTTGTTGTTTCGCTTATATTAATTCAAGAAAAGGTATTAGAGAACATTGTTTTGTATTGACAATCGCGTTTTTACAATATATTGTTAAATTGTGTTTAGTTTGTGTATTAATGTCAGTCTTTCTTATTATTTTAATTACTAGTAGAACCATCATTGTTGTCAAAACTGCATGTAGAAAGTAACCATGTTGTTGAATTACTGTTTATATTGTTCTTGTAATGTATTAATTTATTTACTATACAAGTTCAATTTTAGACAGTGTTTTAATGTCAACAATAACTTATACATATTATGTAGTTTCGCATAATTTTTTATCTTGTTCTAAATAATGACAACCAACTGAAATGGTGTATTGAAAGGAGAAAACATTACATTTACAATAATAATTTAATATAATTCTGATTTCTGCAACTCGTTTTTTTAGAAGATTATTATTTGCAAATAGGCTGTTTAGCTTTCCAAAGAAATTTTGTATTTAATTTTTATAATCTATAATAAACATTTGATATTGATTAAACACGTAATCTAATGAAATTATTTAGCTTGTTGTGCAAACACGGGACTTAAGACTGTAAATAAACCCCGGAATAGGCTTAATCCTCACGCGTAGTATTAAATTTAGATTACCCTTTAGTGCAACGCAGGCTTTGCTGCAACGTCTGGGTGGCTGGTAGTTTAAGTCGCGTAGATTTGTGCACTTAGCTTGATTAAGAAGTTTCTCTTAACTTAATTAACTTATCCCTCTATCACCACAAATGTGATTAGTAATTATGTAGTAGGTAGTAGGTATTGAATACAGTGTTAAAAAGGTCCTTGAACAGGTAAATACATTTATAGCTATAAAGGTATAGATATCGATGTGTTGTAGATATAGTACTCCTTGGTAAAAATCAATTTCCTTGATTACTTTTAGTTGTTACAGTGAATTAAAAACACTAAATGATTAACATCTTGATAAAATTATATGTAAATTTCATAACTTAAACTTTCCTTTGGTTTCAAAATTACTAATGAATATATTTACCAAAAATCATGATAATGGATTTCCCATAGCCGGTTTTTCTGTTTTGATATATAAAGTACTAGCTGTGTACCCGTCCTTCGTACGGGGTTGGCGTATAAGTATAAAATGCTTATTGCAATTATACTTGGCTTTGCGTTTACAATTGTAGAGGACACGGTTTGAGAAAATTTGGTGCTTTTAATTTACGGTATGCTATAACACATCTTACCATAGCCACTACCTATCCACTACACCTAAACAATGAAAAAGTAAATTATCGAATATTTGCACAATATCAAAACAATATTTATGAATTAAAAACATTAACTAAACTGTAAACAATCCTTCTTTGACAGTTCTCATTGTGCATTACAGCTTTATGTTGCTGCTTAGTTCAAATTAACTGTTGTCCTAAATGAAAAAAAACAATTAATAGTGCTGCGCCCTGTTGGTAAACTTTATAAATTTTTAATGATATTGAATATCATTGAACCAACTATTGTTATTGAAACAGCTGACAAAATTCTTTAGTTCCCTTTAAATATGAAAACTCTAGGTTAACATGGGAAATTCCAGAGCCACTGGGGCGAAGCGCGAAAGGATATGAATATGCCTATATGTTAATCGGAAACGTGAGCTATAATCATACAAAGTTTCAGCCCAATCCGAGCAGTAGTTAATGCGTGGTTGAACTTTAAACAAACAAACACACAAACTTTCACGTTTATTATATTTGTATGATTATTACACTTAAAGGTGTTTTGTGACATGCATAGGTTCCTCAATTGTGTATATTAATTAACTATTGCTTTTGGTAAATAAAAAACCATTCCCTTAACAAGTATTTCGTTAGGTATTAGGACACTCGGATAAAGGGATACGACATCGAAAGAGATCAGTCACATCTGTTTGTAGGTTCAAATCTTTAACTTTGTCTATAAATTCGTATTTGTTTTTCATTGAAAATGAGGAAAATAATACGAAACTTTGTAGCTTTTCTTTAACCATTTTGAGAGTAGAGTTGGAGATTTAATACATGAAGCAAATCGTAATTAAGTTTTTTTCGCTGTTTAAGTCGATGGCATTTTTACTAAAGGGGGAAAGATGGGATTACTGCTTTTATGGTAAGCGGTTCAAACCCATGACTTGTAAGTTTTGGGATTAACCCAAAACGGTGTAAAGGAAAAGATGTTTTTTAGTGTTTTACTGTGTGTGTTTTCCTTAAATATGTTCCTTTATACAGGGTGATTGATATAAGTGTGCCAGCTGTTTTATTCGAAAACTATAAGAGATATCAAAAAAAGGTAAATGGTAAGTGCCTTGGATTTTTTATTTTAAAAATTGTAGTCAAGTCGAAAAAAATATTTTAACCGCCATTTTTCCAATATGGCCGCCAACTTTGATTTTTTCTTATAGAACACCCTGTATTTTATTATGTATTCCGGTAGAAAGTGTAATTTTAAGACAATTTATTCGTGTGTTTTTTTCATAAACCTAACCGTTTCAAAGATAATAATGGTTAAAGTTTTGAAATTTCGGCATGAGAAAGAGTTTCGATAAAGGCCTAAGCAAGCATGCCAGCTGTTTCATTCGAAAACCATTCGAAATTTCAAAACTTTAACCATTATTATCTTTGAAACGGTTAGGTTTATGAAAATAAACACAAGAAAAAAATTTTCTTAAAATTACATTTTCTACTGGAATACATCATAAAATACAGGGTGTTCCATAAGGAAAATCAAAGTTGGCGGCCATATTGGAAAAATGACGGCTAAAATATTTGTTTCGACTTGACTACAATTTTTTAAATAAAAAATCCAATGCACTTACCTTCTAACTTTTTTTGATATCTCTTATAGTTTTTGAATAAAACAGCTGGCACACTTATATCAATCACCCTGTATGTTAAATTCCTACTGTAGGATAAACATTAATAATGATAGGCCTACTAGTATGAATATAAACACAATCAATACCGTATCACCCCAAGTACAAATATAATACAACAGCTGCCAAACTTGACTGTAGGATAATACTTGACTGCTGTTAGATAAATTTTCAACCTCCAGGTTATTCCTGGTTCATTGTTTGAAAAGATGATTAATATTGTTTGAACTGTCGCATTTAACAACACTAGATAAAATATAACACCGTATCTGATATGGGAATTAGCATTGGCAGAGTGTAGAACGTTGTTTCGACTCTATTGTTAAGGTATCTCTATAACCATAGGTATCGTTTGAGGATACAGTACTACCAAATTGCTATCTACTCTTATAATAATTCATTTAAAAAAATATTTGTACAACAAAATCTACAGTTTACTGGACCGATGTTATTAACCAATTGGTTGTTGGAAAGGTCACTCCGTGTAGATATGCAAATAACTATGAAAGTTTGATTTTTTAAAGATTCTTGGTAGCCTGTAATGGGTTTGCCGGTATGCATAATCTGATCATATGGAACATGTGTAATAATTAAACAGCTGATCGTTGTATTGTTATTTCCTTGATTTTCTTTGTTTACATTTTGTTGTTTACAACCAGCATTTGTGAAGGGTGTTTCTAAAGTTATGTGCTTAATCTGTACCAATAATTATTTTTTTCTAGAGGCCAATATATTTAACCACAACGGGCTCTGTTGTTAGTACAATTATATTTTCGTCAATACAGTAATTTGACAAGCACAACATGCAAGAATCGGCGTCCTGTCATGTATTAGGTAATGATTCCAAACTTGTACTCATTATTTAATTGTCAAACAACCAAAACTAAATGATTGTTTTTTAGCTATGCCATTGCGTTTCTTCTTTATCCTTGTGTAGAATTATAAATGTACAAGTAGAATCCATTTTCATAAACTGTTTAGTCTCTTTTTTTCAACTCAAGAAACAGCTGTTAAATTGTAATTCACATGTAAAAAGATACACACATAAAGAAAGTTAGTCAGAATAAGTGCATCTAAAAAATAGACTCTATAACAAATTAAACGTGAGGGAAGCGATGAAATAAAGAAAATTATCTTTTTTAATTACCATCCTCTGATTCGCTAGATCATAAGCTTAAAATTACAGGTCAATCGTAAAATTCGGTTTACTCTACTAGGACGGCTGGTAATGGGATTAACAAGGAAACCCCTCACTGTATTAGGCCTAAGTATTTAGATATCGATGGATAAAAGATAGATTTTACTTTTTAAAACAATGCTTGGACTGTAACATAAAATTCAAAATTAGATTAGTCCTATGACAGTATTTCATAGTAATAAACTATGGGACAAACACGGGAAAACCAACATTAAATAGTTCAGTTGGTATTAGTAAGGTATTCTACCTCAAAGCGTGACTAAAATAAAGATAGTTGAAATCACACTGTTTTAGCCTTGCGTATAAAAAGTCTATTAGGTGACTAATTTCTCACAAACCGTTTATATTATACAAATGTTTACGCATACAATGTCTTAATACAGATTATTTTACTATAAAATTTTGTGTTAACGAGCTCTAATTGGTAAATATTTTTCTAGAACTTATTGTCTTAAAACAAATTATTGTAATTTATTCTTTACCCAAATTGAAAGATAGTTGACGATTTGAGATCCTGTAAGTATTTATTTGTTGTTCTGAATGGTATTCAATAATAATAATTGTTCTGTAACAATAATAATATAAAATAATATGCACAGAAAACTCAAAGCTGTCCATACTGCTTTAAGCTGACTGATATTATATTTCAATATTGTTTAATCAACAAATAAACGTAGGGCCTAATCACTTCTCTCATTGGTCAATAATGCCAAGTAATTAGTTAATTGTCTAGTTCAAATTGTAATTGCAA